CGGATGTGAATTTCGAATGTTCTCAAGAACGAATAGTAATGAGAAAATTTTGTACAATTGTCTGCAAGATCAGTGAATGCAAATTGTCGGATCAAATGAGTTAACATTCTTACAGGATGATAGATTCTATTTCGGACTTTTATTCTGGCATTCAATAGCCATCTTTGTTGATAGAAATTTCATTCATATCTATTTATTCCTGTGAATGCATAGCATATATCACTACGGCGGTACATATCTAGCAGCTTGTTTTTCATTATTCACATTTAGAAAAATTATTTTGATGCTAACACTAAATTTAAGGAGATGGAGAACAAAATCATTTAGCATAGTTTTTGTTTGTCTGTCTGTTGCTATGGACACAATTCTCTTCGTTCGAAAATACTCAAAAATAAATATTGTAACGTGTATATCTGCAATTTAGAAGGATCTTTGAAAAACCTGTTTATCATTCAACAATTGGCAATAGCAATCAGATGTCTACAATATATAAGTGTCTTCTTTAAAATGGAAGTCAAGCAAGACGTTGGATGTCAGTGGTTGAAGCAACGACATTGACGGATATACTGTGGTAGTTTTTATTATTACTTTACAGAGTAACTGTAATCGTTATCTATTACTGTATAACGTGCTCCTTTACTTAGTAAAACCATCGGTTGTAAACTGCTAATACAGTCAAAAAATAAAATAGAACATGTACGTAAAAGTTGAGACGAAAATGGCAAAGTGGGCATACATTTAACCAAAAATCGAAAGTGTGCTTTTTTTGGATTTAAAGATTATCATAAATACTCTGTTCAACGCACTATCGAATGGCGTATACTAAGTATAACTTATTCATCTTGTTTTTCTCTACATTAGGCTTCATGCAAATAAGACGTATATATCATTCTCTACTATGTACTATCATGCTCTGTCAAAATGATTCACAAGAATTAGATTACCTATTATAGTCGAAGAGAAAATCTAAAAATAAAGGTGGACGAAGAATTTTTCGACACACTGTTATGTTCCAAGGGTTAGTGAGTCGTAGATCAGCCTTACATAACGTCTAAATGAAGAAAAAAAGAAAAGAATGATATATACGTCTTATTTGCATGCAGCCTAATGTAGACAAAAGCAAGAAGAATAAGTTATAGTTAGTATATAAGAGAGAGACTCAATCATTCTTCAACATTTCGTATTTAAGTTTCGTCATTGATTTCAGTTTTGTTGTATTCACTTAATCCTTCACAGTAAGTATCTAGATATGTGCAAGCATAATGTTTCAACTTATACAGAAGTATTTTTTTTTCAGTTCATCAATCAAAAATGCATTACTCTTTACTAATTTTCTTTTGTATTGGTATAATGAATGGACAATCGTCGCCATTGCTCAATGCTACTGATTATAATAAAAATATTAAAGTGACAACACAATCTAGTGTTGAAGAATATTTTACAGATGAACCACTTCAACTTCCTAGCACTGGTTCGAATGTAGATGAGCAAACAGCTGATCTTCTCTATGCCGATTCAAACACTTTACCAACTAGTGATATGAAAAATCAACAAAATTTACTGTATGCCAATGGTAATGTACCTCAATTCGAAGCAAATCGGAATGACGTTCAAAAAGATAACATACCATCGTCCGATTCATGGAATGCCGGTGATTTTTATCAAGATCTTAATAAAATAAGACAAAATGTTTATCAGAAATATAGTGAGGATGCAAAAAATTAATGGATATTTGACAAAGAGGATATAGGTGTGATATTCGTCTCAATAAAATGTTCTAATCAATTTTTTTATGTATGTGTGTTCAGGTTGTACAAAATTATTTCATTTAGTTTAATTTTTGAAGATAGTGTGAATTAACATGAATTTGTCCTAATAAATGGTTCATCAGTAACCGAAAAGTAGGCTTCCGCTTACTATCACTGCATTTGCAAAGAATTTTACGCAAAAGGAAGCCTTGCTTTGGTATGTGATCTATCAGTTCGTCCTGTTTTAGTAATCTTGAGTTAAGTTGCATATTCTTTTACCGACTTTTTTTCGAAAACCTGAAAATTTCAAGAAGTATTTTGAATCAAATATTTTTTGATTATCAGCACGTTGATAAAAATAAAATCCATCATTTCCTTTTACGCTCTTCTATGTAAATGAGAAAAAACACTTGCCTCGTGGTGAGATGGCATTTATCGTCGGCATCTATCTCGGTCCCTTTTAGTCTTTGAGTTTAGGAATCTGCGAACATCACTTTTGAATCTAAGACAACGATCACGCCTTCCTTCGGTCGGCGTTCGCTAGGCGACTATTTTAAATATTTCTTTTATTTTTGTATAAGGTTTGTAATCTAATGTAAATCTAAAAAGTTTTTCGGGACCGTGCAAAGATCTTTCTGAATTGAAAACAATGTTCTCGCCTTCCTTCGGTCGGCGTTCGCAGTCAGTATAGCTGAGAAACGCTATGAACTTCTCTGATTCTATGGAAAACCGTTTTATGTAATATAAAGCTAAAAGATTTTCTGGGCATAATACTTTCATATACAAACACTGAATTATCAGTTCAAATGATTGGACATGAGACAATACGCACGTCAAAAGAATCCAGGAAATCCCATTAATTGCAATGAACGTCCGTTGAAAAACCTGTGGGAATATTGTGTCTTGGATTCCAACAGTACGACCTTATGATAAACCTGATCATTCTTATGCTTTCCAATAGTCTGATCCTATGTCAGAATCCCAGGCACAAGTTTTCCACAATTTTCGATATAATCGTATCGGATTCGGCAAAATCTGACAGTGTTTCCAATAGGATTCAATTGTGGGTTTATTCGACCTGCGTTGTTCATCTTGTATAATGGTGGATAGCAGAATTATTTCTCACTATTGCCTTGTCACCGTTCCAAAATATATTTGATGCATTTTTTCTCGGAATGTATTCATCAACTAATGTGCATATTAATTTTCGGCACTGAGTCTGCCTTAGGACACCTGCGTTGCCATTTGACAGATGTACCGGCCCAGCCAAACTCCCCACCTGTTTATGTTCTCGAAGCAGATCATGCTTACGATAAAAAGCTGAGTTTTTGTTTAATTTTATGTGACAGAGATCA